AAAAGATTTTATAATTCCTAAGAAAAAACAATACAGATTTTTTTTATAGGGGGTGATGCAGTCTAATGTGCATACATACATACATGCTTGCTTCTGTTTAGCTTTTATCTAACTTATTTATCTATATTGCTTGTAAAGTAGATTTCTATTCAACTTTTCTAGTATATTCTCTTTTATTTTGAATTGTTTAGAAATTTGCTTGTTTTTATTAAAAATAAAACACATTGCAAAAGTTTTTCGCTGCCATTGCGTTGCAGCGACCAAAAGACTAGAGTACATAATTTTTCATCGTTGACGCGAGTAGACACAAATTCCGATGCCATCACTAAAGACAACAATCGGAAGCAAGCAAAAGAACAAACAAACAGTAAACAACTAGGTACTACAGCCAAAAAAAGCATTGTCGCGCACGGTAAACGAAAAATTTCATTACGTAATTTGCGCTCGTAAAAATGTTTTGAAATGTTAAAAAAAAAATTTACATTTCAATCCATTACAGTTCCAAAAAAACACCAACAGTCAGTCATACATACGTAGATGAACATTTTCGGGTGGCGTGAATGCCGCGGTCGGCATGCAGCCTGGCTGCTGCGATGATGTGCAATGCGTCGACGTTGGTGGCAGCTTGTGGCTGCAGACTGACAGTTGGGAAGCGGAAAGCACACAAAATTGCAGGCATCTATTTATATTTAGTGCAAGTGTGGAGCAGGAATATTTGGGGCAAGAGCCGCAACGGAGAGAAGAAAAAATAGGGCAATATTGTTGAGATCATCAGAGTGCAGGAATAGACAAACTTGTAGTATGTGTGAAAGTGTAATGTGAATTCCGAAAATTTACGCGTTTTTAATGTTTATCGGAGCTTTTTGCAATATCTCTATTTCCTTTAAAGCATTTTAGTTAACATTTTTCCGTCTTTAAACTTTTTTCTTAAAAACTTTGTATACTACAATACTTTACTTTTTATCTTAAAACAATAAAACATTTCAAAACAAAAGAACACGGCATTTAAAATTGTTGAGTCTTATTTATTTTTGTATGATTTTAAAACCGATTCTTTTATTAAATGTAATATTTTCATATATTTTTTTTGGGTTTTTTTATATTAACCCATGTTAACTTGTCCAAATTGGAAATAAGCCCTTCAGGTATACATATTTTATTATTGTGTTTTTTTTTGCACATATTTTTTACATTACAAACAAAAGAAGTGTTCATTAAAATTTTTTTAATTTTTAGATTTCAATATTAAAAACCCATGCCGAATTTTTTATTTTTGGCTACAAGCCCTAAGATTTAGAAACTTTAAATAACTTTTTACAAAAATAATTTCTTAAAATTATCAAAAAAATAGTTGTATAAAAGCAAAATCAGGCATATAAAATCATCTACAGTTAAAAGACTTCCTACACTCATAAAACCTGAAAACTCATAAAAAAAATGCCCACAATTGTTGGCGAATCTGTTGTAAATATCTTCGAGACTTTGGACGATCTTTGACATTAAGAAAGCCCTACTGTTGAAGTTAAATTTTTTTCTTTGGCAAATTTTGTCTACATTCGTAAAGGAGACAGGTAATCGACATGAAACCAAATGGCTTTCGACATATAACCCCGCATGTTGTTCTTCCCCAGATACATATACTGTAAGAAACATTTCTCAAGCCCTTGGTGCATCAATATAGAAGTGCTTAGCTAATTTGGGGGACTAGTCAAAGGAAAGTGGACATAACGCCAATCCATCAGTTACGTTTACGGTTCTAAATTGTGCCATACTGAATCTCGCGGAGGAAGTCACGATCTTGAAGAGGATCGTTAAAAAATTGGGACTTCAACCAAAGATAAAGCACTGGGTGTATAACAGAGTGGTTCGTCCAATAAAGTTGTACAGTCACATTGTTCGGAAAACTAAGTCAACGGCACGACACTCCGCAGCTGTGCATGTACGTCGTCATCGGGTCAAAAATCTCTTTTCGCATTTCCGATCTCGGACTTGTAAATTCCCAGTTAAACCTTATTAAATTTCCAATCATAAGGTAGCTTACTCCTGCGGACGCTGTGGAATAATTGTCTCCTCGACGCCCCTAACTCAGAAAGCACCGCCAAAAGGGTTTTCCTTTGCCTTTCTGACATCTCAGCGGACAAGCGCTTTCAAGAGCATCTCTGCACGCAGAACTGAAAACTTCGACAAGCTTATCGAGCGAACCCGCCAACTGCACAGAGTTTGCTTCTGGTGCATCTGGGAGTGTTCCGAGAAGATTCATGCAGTACAGATTCCAGTTCGTACTCCTCAGATTCCTGCAGAGTTTGCTTCGAGGACGCATTTGTCCAAAAATGATTGAATTTACCTGTGATTCGAAAAGGAGTGTTCACTCAGAACCTCCGTATCCGAGATCAAATGTACTGTCTCAGATGAAACCAGTGTAAGGAATAAAGATAGATCAGCTAATTTTTCCAAAACTTAATACGTATGTATGTCAGTGTTACACTCTCGCTCTGAGCGATTTTTTATTTTTTGAAAGTTTTACTAGTTTTAGTGCGGAGAATACGACCTAATACCAGAAAACAATTTTAAAAGTTTTGGAATCGGACGCAAACCACATTAACCTCCCAAGTAACGGTATTTAGGAACAAGCAATGCCTGCAAGATATCAATAACGACTGAAGCAAAGTTACCCAAAATTTAAATTCGGAGCAATGTTTGGAGAGAAGTTAGATTTTCAAAAAAAAATTTGGAAAATAAATTCTCCCAAATTTGGTGCAAATATTAAATATGGGTATATTAAATAGCATGTTAAAACTCTTTGAAATGCGAAAATAACTACATCCACCTCCCTAATAATAGTTTATTTGAATAAAGAAGATCTGCGGTATTTAACTTTCATATTTATTTAGGGCAATATTGTCAAAAAAATAAATTTTTAGAAAAAGTTGGTACACGCATTGCCTCTTCTTTCCCTAAACAAGGCGTTAAAAAAATTTGGGCAATAGTCACCACGTCTTCCTCTTTTATAATAGCAATCCACGGAAACGCGCAATATATGTAAGATTTATTATAGATGCACGTGCGCTGGGTGCGGTTTTGCCCAAACTCAGACTTCTTTTCTTTATTTCAGCAACGCTGCGATAGAGATTCAAAAAAAATTTAAACAGCGATTTTTTCGCATATTTGTAATCTAGTTTTGCGTTTTTTATTACTTAGTTAAACATAAAAAAAATGCGAGCATTTTTTTGGTTGAAATCTTTGCAAAATTTTAATAACAACTTATTCCAAGACTTTCTTTTTTAGAATTTTTTAGTGCATGGATTTTCTTTTTTGTTTTTTTTTCGTTGAATAGTTTAAAATAATTTTTTTTTTTTTTTAATTTTTCGGTTTTTTAAAGGAACTAAAAAACTTATTCCAGAAAAGTTTTTTGTTGTTTTTAGTTATACGTATTTTAACTATTAATTGTTGGGTATTTTATTTTAAATATTTATTTTGTGCTCCTGTTTTTGGTTTGCAGGTCCCATATTTATTCAGCCATTCACTTTAGTATATTTCTACTTTGTTGATTTTAATTCATAGCTTCTTAGACTTTTCGCACAACTTCATTGTTTTTGCTTTTTATTCACATTTTAAGTTAGCTTTTGTAAGTTATAAAATAACTTTCGTCACCTCAGCTTTAAAAACGAAAATACTATTTTGTTAATATTCTGGTATTTGGATTTTAATATGCAGCGCTTGTGTACCCAAATTTTGCATAAATTTTATGTTTTTAATTTTTATTTTATTTTACTTTTGTGTAATTGCTTCCAACCATTTTAGATGGTTCAAATAATTTCTGCTTTCGTAACTTTTGTTGCACAACTTTAAAAATTTCAATTATTTTCGGTCTTAGCAATAAAAATTACATACATTTAATGTGTCACAAATTTTAATCTACATGAAAATGCATGTCGAACTATTTACACACAATTTTACTATATTTTTGGCTTAAAAATATAAGTAGATCGCAACGAAAATTTCATTTTTTTTTTGTTTCTCAATCCTTGTCGCATATTTATGGCTTTAACAATTCTACCTTAGCATACATATGTTAGCACATTTGTACACACAAAGATTTATTAAACACCTATGTATGTATGTTGTTTTTTATGTATTCACAAAGCGACACTTCCTCAAAAAAATTATAATTTTGTTTTTTTTTACTTTCTAAATTGACCACTTAGGGCAACGGCAATCCGAGCGTTTATCTCTGAACGTGACGATCGACAAAGTAGGACTAACGAGAACACCGATGAGCAGGGCTTTTGCTCATGCCTTGGAACTATAGTCGAAATACACTCCCCCACACACATAAGCGCCACAATTTTGTGCAAGAAAATTTTCTTCAAAGCAACACTTTTGCCATTTTGTGTTGCTCAAAAATTCGCCCCATTGCCTGTGACATATGTAGATCATTATGGTGTCACTTGTTAGAGCTCTCCGAGAAACGCACACACCCAGTCATTAGCACGCTCATGTGCATAATTTCGGAAGCAGCGCTCTTTCCGGTCACCTCAAACACACCTCACACACCTACAAAGGTTTACTCCTTGCGGCAATGGGATGCTCTCACCAACGCCACTACCACTGGCAAGTTTAAGAACGTTGTCAGAAATGTGTCCCACAGAGAATTGTTGGCGCTCCTCTGCAGATCGTTTTGCTAATATGTAGTTAGTTCGCTGAGCGTTCATTTTAGCCACCACTCTCATCGTTCTTATCTTCGAGTGTGCGTCTGTGTTGTGAATTAAGCACACTGGAAAACGGCCAAGAAATAATGCCACAACAATTGAAAAAGCAACAAAACCGCACGACGCAGATGACGATCTAAATTAATCTCGTGAGAGTAGCCATAGAGAAATAGTTTCTTTTTCAATAAATATTTCACATACAATTTTGAATGCACCCTCCTTCCTTCTTCGACTTTTCTAACCTTTTTTCACTCACTTATAGTATATACTCACAGTATAACTCATACTCACCATTCAAATTTTAATGGCAACAAATCGGAGTCTTCGTCACAGTCGATTTTTACGAAGAATGTCGCTCTTTCGTTCGGTACGCAACGTACCAGCGAACTCGAATTTTCGCTAAATGAAAGTTTCGGTGGCGGCTTTTCTGTTTGCACGCCTTCGTGAGGAAAGCCCCGGGGATCTGGAAGTATATACAAATGAAATAAAAAATTGTATTAAGTACACACAAACCTAAAATATTTAAAAATAAATTTTAAAATAAGCGGAAAGAGTCGAAACTGCAACTGCATCGTTAAATAAATATTTACGATTGTGTAACAAATTTTCAAATACATAAATAAATATTTATACAAACACGCGCAAATAATGAACGCTACGTTAAATAAACATTTGGACGGACGGTTTAGTAGCTGGAAGAGTATTTATGTGCGTAGTGTGGCATGTATTTGTTATTTTTTTTTTTTTTTAATACTAATTTCAAGATGTTTTGAGGTGAAAAATACTGGCAAATTGTTCAGGAACTCATTAGTCTTTCAATAACGATATTAAAATACTTTACTCCTTTTAAAATATTAAATCAAGTTATTTAGATATTTCGAATAAATAGAAAATAAAGTTAAGTGTAGTTCCTTCCCGGCATTTCTGCCCAACGTTAGGTTAGGTTAGTAGAGCTGCTCTTCTTATTGGATGCTTCGACTTCGAATTTATTCTCCACTTACGTATATTCTAAGAAGTGCATGCTATACAGAAGATGAAAGCGAAGGCCAAGAAACTATTTTACGAACCGTTCAAAGCTTGAAGGAAGATAAGTTGAGGAGTTCTCTCTAGGGTGTACTCTATATATACCACATTTATGCTCCCAGTTCACTGTAGTTTGTTTCATGGCAGTAACTGCTACTAGAGGTACAGTCGATAACTACTCTAGCACGAGACAGTATTTAGCCTTAGATATATGTAGGCGACCGCTGTGGCTGAGTGGTTAGAGAGGCATACTACCACTCCAAAGCCCCTGGGTTCGATCCGTTCTTCGAGCAAGATCTAAATTAGAAAAAATTTTCTAGCAGCGGTTGTCCATCGCCAGACATTGGCAAACCTTTGAGTGTATTTCTGTCTTGAAACAGCTTCTCATAAAAACCATTTGCCGTTTAGAGGCGGCCTAAAATTTTAGATGCCTCCATTTTTGTTATGGCAATAAATTCAAACATCGATGTAACAAAAAAAAAAAAGATCACGATCGTTGGGCTCTTATTTCAAGAGAGGAGATGACGCTGGTAAGACCAAGATTAAGTTTAAGTTTAAGACTTAGATTTATACTAAGATTAAATTTAAGACTAAGATTAGGATTAAGATTAAGACTAAAATCTAGGATTAAAATAAAAATTAAAACTAAGATTAATATTAAGATTCAGATTCAGATTGAGTTTCAGATTGATGTTGAGTTTGAGATTCGGATTGAGATCGAAATCAAGATTTAGATTAAGATTTAAAAGTACTCCTATAAGAAGTGATAAGAAGAAGAAGTTTCACTTTAGTCGCGCGTGGATTCCACACACAACTTTTTTTATTATTATTAACGATGAAACTGCCAAAATAAAACTATATAATTAAAATTTAGCATTTTCGTACATTTCTGGTAAGCTCTGGTTAGAAAATTAAGTTACTGGCACGTTACTGGACATTTTTTAAACGAACACAACTACTGTTTAAATAATAAGAGTATTAAGGCATAGTTTTAACAACAAAAAAATTTATTTTTTTCAAAATTCTACAGTGCTATTTTACCTAGTGCTGGCATTATCCCTTATCCGGATATCCATTTCGGTATTAGTCACTATGGAGTAAATTCGGATATCGGGTTAATAATTTTCTTATCCGGACATTTTAATCCGTTTATTTGGTTATCCGAATATTTGAAACAGTTCGTAAAATTGTTCTATTTAATTGAAAAGTAAATTATAGAACGCTTAATTAATGTATAAATAATTGTTGATTTATTTTTTGTTTTTGTAGATTTGAAAATCCGGATACTCGGTTAATATTCGTTAATTTTGCTATCTTCAAAAAATTCAGACCCTATTATTAACTCTTAAAAGATCAATCGGCTCAATTAGCTAACGAATAGAGGTAAAGCCTTTCGTTCTGTAAAAAAAGCGAAAATCCTTTGAATTCCCCATTACTTGATATGGGTGCCGGGGCAACACACCAGGCAACGAAAAGGCGGATGCACGTGGAAGGAAGGGCACATCCGTTTCACTTGCGTAGTCCTCTAGATCATTTCAAGGGACCAACATATAGGTCTAGCAAGTAACAGTTGGGCTAGTCTCACCACTTGCAAAAATAAGAAATTTGTGTGGCCGAAATTTCACGGGAAACGGTGAAAAGGTCTCCACAAGTTGATCAGAAAGGATTTAGCCACAGCCATTGACCTGTTGAGGTAGAAAAACACGCGAGATTAGGCGAATGCCCCGCACTCTGTGGGAGAAGAGGGATTCAGAATTTTCGAGCGTTTACCCGACATAGTCTAAGTAGGAATTCGGCAACTTTTAGGTTTCACATTCTCTACACGATGGTTTGAGTAGGAGGATTCCAACCATCCGCGTGGTATCACAACTGACCCACAATTGCAGGTCCAGCTGTGTTAATGGGGCCACTGGCAGGCATTTCAACCTAACCTAACCTAACATGCGCTAGCATTCCCATAATGGAAAAGCGCATAATTGTGTTCGTACAAAGACTTTTACGGGCCACAATCTAATTGGCTTGCATGACATAAGACTAACCACGCTTGGCAAACCATTTTAACCAATGCCTGCAGATGAGATCTGTCAGATGGAAATGAGGCCGTTGGCAAAATTCAAAGCGTCAGCTCTTAGCAATGGAATAGACTAGTAATGCTATGTGGGATGACGGCGCTGCTATTCTTGGTCTATGTGTGAGGAGGGTTCTGCTCTCCAGTAGTTTCAAAGTAAGCTAAGACTTTTTAATATACTAATCTGTTTTACATTACAATACTATTTTTGCATCGTCCAACGGAAAAGTTCTTTATTAAGATAAGCTCTCCTTCTTTCCTATCTAGCATCATCTTTTGTCCTTCTGAAAAAAAAACTTTGCATGATAGAAAACTGAAGAAAAAAAGCATTTAACATCGCGCCGGCTAAACTTTTCCAATTCACCTCGATTTAGAGGTACAAATTTTTTGTGTATGTTTATAAGCCTTTTATTGCAGCTAGTTCCATTAAAATTAAATTCTTGTATACTTAGCGCAAATATATGTATCTAAATAGTATGTATACTTATTTCGCCCATTGGCTTTATTAAACATTTCAACGGAACGCATTTTTAAATGGAACTCATTTACTTAGCTCTTGTCGTTGATAGTTTTAGACTATGATGTCATACGTACATAAATACATACAAGCATACATGTATGTACATACATCCCTAATTGCGTATACAAGAACAACATGCATGCTGCGTGCGTCATGTGGTATGAGCAACATCAATTATGTAGTTGGCTGTGCCAAGTGACCAGCGCCATAAATTCAAAACTACAAACTAGCCAGTCTGCCGTAAAACAAAAAAAAAAATAAAACCAAAAACGTACAGAGAATGCAATTAAAAATATTCATAACAAATGTTAAACACAGCTAAAAGCTATGAGGGAGAGCGAAGACTGACAATTGAGCAGATAACTAAGTCAGCACCTAATAATTCTCAGTTGATGATTAAGTAGTACGTATACGCCATGTCGCACGTGCGGTATTTAAGTTTATTGGGTGAGAATTTGAAATACTTTGTACATAAGTACATACATACGTTTATTTTTTTTTGCAAGTATTTATGAAATATAGTCTGTGGATAAGTTGTGATCATCTTCAAACTTAAATAAGTTCTTTTCAGAGGTATATAAGTGCAGAGTTAAGAGGAATTCTGTGTTAGTACTTTAAAATATTTTTAATAAGAAATTATTAGTTTCAGTTTAAGAGCCTTAAGTGTAGCTTGGCTGGCACTACATACACGTAAACTCCTGCTTCTCGGCTTGAAATACCGAAGCATGTTCCCGAAGAGAGAAGTGAATTTCCACCCCTTTACTTTCGATATAGACTTCAGATCCTAACCCTACGCTTACTCTAAGTCTCTAAGTAAATATAGCTTACTGGTGAACATAAAATACAAATGAGATCCCTAGCCAGAAAAATGCAGTCATAGCACTTAAGTGCACCTAAGTGACAACGAAAATATTGATTCGGTTTGTGCTATTATTGACATTAATAAAATATTCCAAATTGGTTAATTAGAATAAGATAATTAAAACATTGTTTAATAAATTTAATTTAACAAGACATAATTAATATACATACATGCATACGTATATACATTAGGGTGCATCACCCTCCATACAAAACAAAAAAGTCGGTAAAATATTTGTATTCGCAAAATCGCCTCAGGTGATAGAAAAGTTTAAGCTAAGGAATATTTTTTTTTTTATTTTATCAATACAACTCACACAAATCTTAAAATTACTTTCAGATATTTTACCAGAAGTCTTAAAATATAATAAATTTCATAATTCCGGTGGAAATTCTTTTGGTGGGCACCCTAATGTACATGCGTTAAGTTCATTGAATAAGTTGTATGAATTTTTAGAACATTCTGCCTGTCTGAGCATCATAATAGAATACATACACACAAAACGATATGCATTTCGACCGCAATGCAAACTGCGAAAACAGCAAAATTTCGTGTTTCTTCTAGCGGTTGACAAGCGTGTGAAGGCAAAGACATACAACGGTCAAAATTCTAAAAGAGTGGTATACGTACACACTTATCTAGCTAGCCGGTTCTATAGCCACCGCTGACAATTTTCCACTTTACCTCCACACCGCCCCATTGCTTGCAAATCGTCAATCAGCGGTAGATTTTCGCTCGACGCAATGGCGAAATGTACTTTTCCGAACTAAAAATAGTTCAACAACTTCTCGCTGGCTGCGGTCAATAAGCGACAAAACACAAAAAAATACAAAAAAAAAAACTAAATACTACAACTAGAGCCAAAGCATTATTCATATTAATACTAAATATATTGCCGAGTGAAAAAATACTCATCCGCGAGATCCAAGAAGAGAAATGATGAGGCTCTGTGTGAGAAGAAAGTCATGTGAAATTTTAAAAATTTAATTTTGTGCGAAACATAGTTGATGAATGCTGTCAGTATAAATATGGTGTAGTTCAAGCATACGTATGTATATACATATGTATGTATGTACATTAATATTATTCACATATAAAGGGTGATGCAAAAACGAACATTTCTTCAAAATAAAAATAAAATTATTAAAAGGGGGAAAAATTGCATAGCTCGCATAAACTCTGCTACAGGTCGTATTCAACTAGACGCTATGTCAAATATCTAGCATCAGCTCATTAAAAACTTATAATGACTCACTACGATGAGTGGGCCTGGGCAGCGCTACGGAAGTGAAACTTCTCTTGATTCATTTCTTAATCTTCCACAATTCTGATAGTTGTATATTTCGAACTACTGAACTCAACATAACACATAAGATAACAACATAATACTGGGTTGAGTGATTTTAAATTGATCATATCACACATCTGGAAAAGAATTTTATTTATTTTTTATAATATCCGGCGTGCTTTACTGCGCCTTAAAAGTATTTGTGTGCTGTTGGAAAACTGTGTTGTAATACTTCAGTTATTTTATATTTTAATTATTTTTCAAACAGCTGGCAACCCTCCTCAAAAGTATTTGGGACAGAAAACTTTCCTAAACATCTTCAGTTTCATACTCATATTGCAATATTCAATTTGTCTTATCAATTAAATTCCGTAAAATTTTTCAAACAGATGGCAACCTTCAGCAAAAATATTTTCGCCTATAAGCCTTTTTAAACCTCTTTCTTTGGCAGCCATGTTACAATTTTACTTTATCTTATAAATTTACTTAAAGTGCAATTTTCAAACAGATGCCAACTTTCAATTTTTTTCTATATATATTTTAAGTTGGACCTCTAGCAATGCATCTGTGAAAACTGTCTTCAATTCCTCGCATTAGTTTTCGAGTAATGCGCGTACAAACGTACCAACAGACACAAAATTTTAAGAATTGTTGATTTGGCTTATCTTGCTCTAATAAATGTAGAGACAATCGGCCTATTACAATTTTTTTTTAATGTATAGTTTTGCTTCGGTGACCTGGGATGAGTTGACTTGTTGGGAGTTGAGGTAAGGTGGGTTAGGGTTAGTTGAATTTGGTCGTGTTGAGGTGAGTTCAAGTCAGCTTGTGAGCAGCGTTGCCGTTTTGATACAATTGTATCATTTTTGATACTTTTTTTCTAAATTTTGTTATTTGATACTTTGATTCTTTTTTTCACAAGTGCCCCATTTTGATTCCTTGGCTGGCAAAATTGAATTTTTGAAAACTATGAATAATAATACTAGTTTAAAGGCAAATAATTTTTTTCTTGTTATTTAAAATTGTATATGTATTTATAAGTTTGATTTGGTAACTCTTTGAAGGGAAGTAAAACCCTGAACTTCTTTGCACATGCCGCGGTTATAGGGCCCCTAAACCACACAAAAACATTGCGCAATATCGGGCTTGTTTCGGTCGTTTGTGTAGTGCGTGGGGTTTTGTACTAAATTGCACAGTTATTGCACTAAAATCAAAATCATTTTGATATTTTGCTCATGCTTGTGTTATTGTACAATAATTTGCGTTGCCTATGGGGACAACTGCACAATTTTCAGTCTAGTTTTGACATTTTGGTGAGCAGAAGGTGCTTGCAGCATAAGTGCGTGTAAAAAAAATATTTTTTGTTTTCATATTTCTTGAGCAACGTTTTCCCAAAATAAGGTTTGACCAATTTTACTGTGTAGTAATTTCCACAATATTGACTTGTTCAAGTCTCGAGTTGCGCAATGATTTTGTGTGGTTTAGGGGCCCTATAAGTTTGTCTATCGTTATGCAAATTCGCCTGCCTTAGTCCAGACGTGTTCTACTTAGGTGTCATTCTTCTGCTCTTAACTCTTCCCTAATAGTGTGAGGGCCGACTGCAAGGAAGGGTTGTGGTCCTATAGGTCGAGTGGCTGCTGCTTCTCTATCTAACCTGTCAGCCTCCTCGTTGCCCTGTGTTTAGTTCCCCCAGGGCGTTCAATCTCGTTACAAATTCCCATACTAATTGTGAATTAATTAATGGTGATCATATCATCATTTGCAACCAAATTCAAAATGATATTGGCTGCCAGTTATGTATATACAGACATATGTATACATATCTGTTTCTAAGAATTTTCAATTAAAAGTCAGTTCATTATCTAAAACTTCGTGGGAAACTAAAAAAATCATCAACATTTTCACCCAAATTTCAAGGCCTTTTCTAAAAAATGTCAGAGTTTTTTAGGTATTACAAAGAGTATTAAAAAATATATGAAGCATATATAATATTTTAACGCCCCTCTCAACTTTTTGTTAAGAAGTTAATCGATTTGGCAAGTGGAGCATTCAACACACTCTCATAGAAAATGGAAGCTTCATTTTTGAATTTTAGATCACCCTGTTTACATGCGACAGAGTGCATAAATATATCAGCGTAAATACATAGATAAAAGTTAGCAGAAAGATCGAAATTTTTAAAACAAAAATGGCTTGTAAACATTTTTTGAAACTCTTGAAAATTGGTCGATGATATTTTGAATTATTTTTAATCGCGGAAAAAAACTTGTTGCATAATAAATTATTACAAAAAATATTTTGTATAAAAACATTGCATTCTCACCTGTTGTGTTTGGCGTAGTGTCGGCTGATGCTGCAGCAACATTCTGCCCGGCTGTTACACCGGTCGACGATTTGTCTGCGGCATCCATCAGTGATTACGGAGAAAATGATTTAGTAGTTTGGTGCGTCCTAGGCGATGTAGCGCCAGGTTTGAGCCGAAATATTTCGCACTTTATACAAACGCGACTTTGTTTTTTTTTTTATTTAAAAACAAAAACACTTGATAACTATTTTCGGCGCACAGTTTTTTTCTTATTGAAAATATTATTTCCATTCAAGCGCACCAAGTCAACTGACTGGGCTAATGAGACATAAAATTACAAAAGCACAAAATTAAAATACAAATTTATATACTTTACACTTGTATGTATGTACGTACATATACATGTACATTTGGACATATTTAAATACATTTTCATTTTAACAACTTATTGCAATTACATACTATATTAATATTTTAAATATTATGCATGGCTTTTAATTTTTTATTTCTTATTTTTTTTTGCTTTCTTTGAGAGCGCAGCACACTCTTGAAAAATTATTAGGCGCAGGAGCTACAACAAAATATGTGTACATTAGACCACACCAGAAAAAAAAGTACACCTGTGTCTTAAAAACATCATTAAACTTCTTCTAAGGAAATATTTTTATTATTCCAGTAGAACTATTTAAAAAAAAAAAATATTTTCGAATGTAGATGCCACCGTTTTAAAAAACGATCCCTAGGTTCGGCCAAAAAACAAACACTTTTTTCGAAGTTGCTTTGCAAAAATACTTTAGCCTCAGGGTTGTATGCTGAAGTTTTTTGTTTGCTTGTATGGTAGTGCGGTCTAATGTTCATATGTATATACATATATAAGCTTATATATGCACGATATTTATTTATATTTAGCATGCCGCCGTATAACGGAATTCATATACTACTAACGCTCCGTACACCAACACACACACACACACACACGAATTATGCTGCTTCAACCATGACAGCGTATAATCTTTTTTCTGCTACTTTCACGATATTTTTAACATTTTTGAGCTTTTTAATATTTTTGCTTTCTTAAAATATTTTCAAACTTTTTGCATTTCACTTTGCGAAAAACATGGATATTTTGCGAAAATTTGCTTTAATATGCATACATAGGCATATATATGTATGATTTTGTGAAATTTCACTGATTTCAACGCACTTTAGACACCTTGATCAGCGCTAGGCGCTAGCCCAGGCGCCACTCACATCCCCAGCCACGACACATTTAACACTTAACGCATCTACTAGTTACACACAAACACACACACAAAAGATTTCGGATGTGAGTCCCCGATGTAAAGTGTTGCTAACGGTTATCGTAGTATTTCAGACCCTCTAAAAATCCTGGAATTTACGGAAAAGATTCAACCTCTAACAGCTTTTCATTATCTACATATAACGAATATTTAAAATTTTTTCAAACGCATGAAAATATGTTTGCTCACGTCGACGACACGCCTGCGACTGACTGACTGTTTCAACTCTTCAGTGACTTTCTTTTTCCCGGGTATATCCATAAATGAGTACAAAATCACACGGTTACACGCACTACTCCGCATCCAGCGATAGCACCTCCTGGATCTCCGAAAGTTTTCCTCAGACTGATTGTGAGTAGCCAGATCGGCCGGCCGCCGGAGCAATGCGTAATGTGGTTCGCCGCTGGCACAGTGCCGTCGACACATATACACATACATATGTGCATATGTCTGTCTGTCTGTCTGTATGCCGTTTCAGTTGTCTGCTCTGCTATTTTCGGTCGAGGTGCGAGCAGCACGGTCGCCACCGTGGAGATCAAGACTGTGGCATGTACGTTATTCATGTGCAGGTCACGTACCGCGTATGCGGAACTCATTTGCATCCATGTTCGAGTACATAAATACATACACGTGTATGTTTGTTGGCTTGGGGGTATGTAAGAAGAAGGCTGGGTGGTTGTCTGATCGAGTGACATGCAGGCCAGCAGACGAGCTAGAGATAGGTTGCAGGGAAGAAGCACAGTGGTGCGAAATAGATCGTTGCGTAGTAGGAAGAAATGTTAGCTATCTTTCGGCGCTACAGCTCATGGTGGTACGTTCGGTTATATTAGGGGGCAGTCGAAGGGAATCACTTAGACAATTAAGTTGTTATCCTTTCTAAAATCACATTTTGTACGGCACCCACCACTTAATCGATAAATCATCCATCGTCCCAGAGTTCCTCAGGGTTGTCAAAGATGTGCGAACCAAAGTATTTCAACCTTAGGCACTTAAGAAAGTAGTGCTGAGGTGATTCCACCTTGTCATTTTTCAGACAACTGCAGCACATAGGATCAGATAACATGTTCAGCCTTACTGCTTGAATATTGATTGGACCGTGGCCCGAAAGAACCACCAAACCCCCCACCCCCCTCCGAAGTAAGATCTGTGGCCTTGTAAGAAGTAGGAGGATTGCTCTAAACAGCCCCTTGTCCACTCTCGGCCAGAAGGACCTCGCAATCGCGCATGTCCTGGTTTTCACCCAGCGCTCGATGAACTTACATGAGGCTCATCTATCCGAGAGGGTACCACAAGCGCTCAATGGCAACCCCAGCCGCTCATTATTCGATGATAACGTTTCAGGGGTACTTTTCCCAGCTTTTGCCTACGAAGACACAAATCCCTCGCCACGTCCGTCCTAAGCAAAGGTGAGCAGGGAACTATTTTACGCAAAAGCTAAATATGGGTAAAGCTTTTTAATGACATAGACCGATTGCGCTGGCTTGGAGATTCCGTAGATAAGAGTGATAATGCTGCTTAAACTAGGCACCCATGGGTGCACAACGAAAGCAAAAGCATCCACGAACACAATGGAAGAATCAACTGCAGAAGGACCTATCGCCACTTGGTATGAACAATGGGCGCAACATCGCGAGGTTAGCGAGTTAACGACAAACGCTTATCATTCCGTATAAGACGCAGCAGCAGAAGTCTTTTTTGTGTTCACCAAGCGTGTCACATGTCGTGCCCATCTCATTCTCGAGGACTTTTGAATTTAAATGCGTTCTATTCTTGTATTAATTATGATGTTTTAACACTGGTTCTTATTCTTCAGAAACAGGGACGGAAAATAATCTTTTTTTTTTTAAGTTAACCCAAAAAAATCAACAAGTTGTAATCGTTGTAAAACAATTTTATTTATACCCACGTATTTGCTTTCGTACGTCCCACTGTAATTTGCAATGATTTTTATTTTCGAGTGGGATCATCCACAACCACACCCCGCACACGTACATAGATACGTAAGACGGACATCGAGAGGTGCGTACATCATACATTCGATTAGACCCAATGTAATTCGGTGCTCCCAATGTAATTCGGTGCTCACAATGTCCATCAAGATGCTGTCAACTCGAGCCTTAACTTCCGCAACAAACCCCTGAAAAGTTCCGTTCCGGGTAATGTTGCACACTTAACCTCTATCCATCTGGCCAAAAACACAAGAAATGACCAATACCTGTCCAGCATGCGTGAAGGTGATCTTAATACCCAATACATGTGTTGTGCACCCTCAACCCGACGAACTTGACTTCGAAAGTAATATAGATTGAGCCAATCGGCGTCATCCGAATTCTAGGCCGATAACAAGAATAGCAATAGTGATAATCTTGAAAAGTTCGAGTTCATTCGATTCAAAAGTTCATCAAGTACTTCAAGTTAGGCACCAGTTTTGAACTGTTCGGAGTCGTTAAATTCACAAAAGTATTTACGTACATATACATACATATAAGTATGTTCGGATATCCGGATATCCTTTTGATATTCGTGTATACGGACAAAATCTGGAAACCCGGTTAATATCCATTGTTTTATTATCTGTATATCCGGTTAATATCCGTTAATTTTACTATAGGGATATCCGGTTAATGTCCATTCTTTCTGTTATCCGTACATCCGGCTAATAACCGTTTTTTTAACATATTTTCGAATACCCGGTATATAGGAAACATGGTTATCCGTTCGGATATTCGTGTATAGAGATAAAATCGGGAAATCCGGTTAATAAACGTTTTTTAGTTGTCCGTATATCTATTAGGTTTGCTATACGGATATTCGGTTAACATGCGTACATTTCGTTATGCAGATATTCGCCTTTTTTAATCAGATATTCGAATATTCGGTTTACCGGGTATGCGATTATTCGTGTTGTTGTTGTTGTAGCAGCAACAAAGAGTTTTTGGGGAGTGTTGCTGGAGTGACAGTCCTTGGCCAAATATAAATCTGGGTCGTTCCGGTTACGTAGACCCGACTGTCGTGGGAGCGATTATTCGTTGTTGTTGTTGTAACTGCATACAAATTTCCCAAAGAGGTTTTGGGGAGTGTTGCTGGAGTGGCAGTCCTTGGCCAGATATATATCTGGGTCGTTCCGGTTACGTAGACCCGACTGTCGTGGGAACGAACGATTATTCGTCTATTCGTCCGGTTAACTTACGTTGATTTTGTTATTCGGATATCCGGATCTTCGGATAATCAGAAAATGTGGTTAGAAGTCCCAGCGCTTATAAATATGTACATACATATGTATGTACATTAGAGTGGTCCAAGTATTGTATGGGGGAATAATGGCAGCCAATTTCATTTTGAAATGATCTTAAGTCGCTTAAGCAATTGTTTGGTTAATATTTGTGCAGTATACTTAAATAATAATAAATATAAACATTTCATGAGAATCCTTTAAATTAATACTTAGAAACGTTTTGTGCCAGCACCTCTTTAGGCAAGAGGAAATATTTTGAAAGGTACCCGAACCCTATCTCGGAAATTTTTTTTGGACTCATCTAATGTACATATGCACATTTTCTCACCTGAAAGACCAAAAATTGTAAGCTCCATTTAAGCAAAACAAAAATAAAAATGTTTGAAGCAATTAACACACAAATTCAGAAACGAAAAATTTGTCTTTATCTACTCCACTGTGCGCCTTTGCATTTTGAACAAATTGCATTTTGTGCCCACGTTTTTCGAATCGCTTTTTACAAGCAGCTGTTGCCTCATAATTCCCGTAATTATAGAAATTCCAAAGCTGCTGCAGCAGCATCATTCGCATCCTAAAATTATAGGAAAGCATAAAGGGAAGACAATAAAAAAGAGGGTGATAGGGGGCAGAGAGAGAGAGAGAGAGCAATGGTGGGGTGCGAGAGTGTATACTCAACATATTCCAACGTATAGATAATATATTTCTTCGATTTATTTTAATCCATAGCGCTCGTCAATAGGGAAGTTAATAAATTTGTTTGCCAAGTGAGTACATAAACCCTAAAGCTTATTGCTTAAATTAATTTTTATTTTTCTGCATTTATTGTTATGGAATAATGTAGTATTTATGCACATATTAGTGTTAAAAAACTATATACATACGTGTGAATTTAGAAATTGTATTTAATTTTTTTGTAAATGTGATGATTAAAATCTACTCACAAGTATATATCTCAAGTACGTATGTACATATGTATGTACCCCGCCAGTTACCACCTATTTCGAGGAACTTAGATAACTGTAAAATAAATTTGTAATATATGTACTTATGCATAATGGATTTATAGACTATTTAAGGATACATGTGAAAACATTTTTTTCCAATCTTAAATTTTAATTTTTGCCCAATTATTTAAATTAAGTCAAACAGGAATTAAATATTTAATTCCACAGTTTTTTGTCAGTTCGGCACACATCTATGTATGAATGTAAATATCACTGCATAACAACAAATTAAAAATATTAGTATAAAGTCTTATAAAGAAAACTTAAAACTTAAAATAATTTCTCTTCATGAAAAACTTCAAAGCTATGTACAATTATTGATCATATTTCATATATCCATTATCCAAAATACACCTATAAAAAGCATTTTATCCAAGTATGATAGAATACAAGATTACGCATTCGCAGCGGCGATTACATTTCTCAAGTAAAAAGGAAACAAAGCCGAATAGGAGGATAAAATAAACTGTCAAACAGGCAATTTCCTTAATAATCAATATTTTCCCGAAACGTGGCTTAACTGTATTAAATTGTTTCGTTGTATAAAAAGATAATAAAGGAAATGTTAAAAATGTTAAAATATCTATTATTGAATTCCAGTGCATTTAAAGTTTCTAAGGCCTTCTTTCATCATTAATATTTATTGTTTTTTTTTGTAATGGCTTTATAACTTGTTAGTTGGGCCAAATAATCCCTTGTAGAAGTTAAGGAGTAACTTAAATTAAAAAAAAAAAAAATAAGGCGTTGTTTATTTTTGCTTGAGAATTGCCAAAATCGGCAAAACCAAACTAGCAGTTTGGGGAATGCGCCATCTTTGTTCGCTGCACCGTGATATCAACAGCTTTTATTAATAAAAACTAAGCAATTGCTTCTTTTTAAAATTTCATACCTTTTACTCGATTTATTCAAATAAATTTGAGTAAAAGGTCTAAAATTTTAAGAAAAAGCAATTGCTTAGTTTTTATTTATAACGCCCAATATCTACCACATCCATACATATGTACATAAATGTATAGATGAGTATGTGTGCATAAAGTGATGAGCAATCCACATCTCTTAACCAATTATTTTTATATGCTATTTTCCATTTAGCGCTATTTCACTTTTAAGGCAAATCATGCAATTGTTGTTATTGCATGTTTAGCATAATAAATGTTTGCCATCAGAGTTTTTTCAATTTAGTTAGACCAAATACGACATAAAACATTAATATGCGGCTGAATCATGTATGTATATGGGTTAACTTTCATTGAATGCTTATTTTGCAGCCACAAACAACTGCATATGCATTTATACTTAACCTAAAACTCTTAAAGCTAGAATAAGGAAATCGCATTCAGGATAAGTGAAAGAAAATCCGGGTTTAGAAGAGCGAACCTGCCGATTGCACATACGTTTTCACTTTGTCTAAAAAAATGAATTTTGCTCTTTGGCTGTAGAACTTAAAAGATATAAATATTTTATAATATTTTAAACCCGCTGCGAATAATCTTGCCGAGGTTTACAATCTATCGAAGTGCAAACGGACGGTTTTAGCCAAATCGCCAACTATCACTGAATTGGTTTCCAAAAACTCTTAATTTTTCATTCAAGTGATGTATTCGCATAAGTGGGAAATGAATTATTTCATATTCTTCTTAAACTGAATAGAAGTGTGTATTAAATTTTGTTTTCCATGATGGTTTAGTGAATGGTGAGAACCAAGCCAACGAAAAACGTCCAAATACTGAATGAATGCTTTTTAGGCGAGATTTTTTTGCCCAACGTGCTTCTTCTTTTTTCAATTGCTCAATACCCTGCAAAGAAATGAGTAAAAGAGTTTTGATTATTCTATGTGTACGATAAGCATATTATTATAATTATTAAGCAATTTTATCAAGTTTTCATGCATACATTAAAAGCTTATTATTATCTTTAATTAATTAGCTTACCGTTTGGTCATTAAAGATGGCAGTTAATTGCGTAGCCAGCATAATAAGCGTGAAAATTGCAAAAAGTAACGCTTCGAATGATAGAAACAGCAGTAAAATTATAGTTGTAGGTGGCGAATAGGGTGAACATTGACGCCATTCTGTATGTACACATTGTGCAAACTCTGTGACAACCAAAAACATGGCATGTATCGATATGGCGGCAATATAAAACTGTAACAGATTGCAAGAAATAGTATAAATGTATGTTTAGTAAAACCTATGAAGAATAAAATAAACCAAAAATCAATACTCACCGTAAATAACACAAAGAACTTTTGATTGTTCTCTCCCACACAGTTATTTACCCATGGACAATGATGATCCATTTTACGTATGCAACGTTGGCATACTGAGCAATGGTGCGCCCGTTCCGGTTTAATGCTACAACATTTAGGACATTTGAAAAACATTTCACCCTCACGGTAACCCATCTGTTCAATCATTTCTTTAGTTGCATTACCGCGCGGTACTGCACCAGGATCTGACATCATCGTGCGTATGTGTGATGCAAAAGCGAGAAAGGCAAGGGCTTGGAATATAATTATGTTTATAGTGCTAAAAATAGGATACGGACTCGGCAACAATATGACACGCATTACAACAAACTCGGCAAACAGTATTAGCAGCCAGGTGAATACAGCGCAGACAATACCGCAAATATCCTTTATTATAGATGATGTATATGAAAAAATAGGTATGCAAATACATAAGGTATAGAGTCCTCAATTTCCGCGCTTAAGGGGACAACTTACCTTCACGCACCAAGCGCGTCCACCACAACAACGGTTGTGCATGTCCCTGCTACCGCCATGTACTGCTATATATTGGGAATGCATTTGTTATAAATTTGAAGCAAAGCTACAACTTCTACGGAACTTAAATATGCTTCNCTCACCTTCGTAAGAACGTCTGGATCAAGCACTAGCACAAGTTTCTTTTTTATTTTATTTTTTTTTTCAAATTTTTGGTTTTTTTTTTCTAGGAGTTTAATACCTAGTCTTTACAATAGAACATCCAACTTTTACACTTAACAATTGACACACACTTCACACTCACAATAGGCACAAGAAATACTTAGACAAATACAACCTCCACCTTCTGTAGTACAAATGCGAATGGCGAAATTTTTTATGTTTTTCTAATTACTAGGGAAACAGCTGTTTTATGTCACTGTCACCTGTGAGATTTATAGAAGATGCCAGATGGACGAGAAAATGCCTCATTCAGAGTATTTTTTTAGTACTAAATCCAGCAAAAGTTTACTGCGAGTGACAGACAAAATTAAAATAATAAGTTTTTATGGAGGAACCTACATGGCAACGAATGCAAACTTAAGAAAATGTTACTATTATCAAAGAAGTTAAATATATTCGGTGAATTTGTTTTTATTGGAAATATAAAGGCTGCGTTTCTTTATGCATTCCATATAATCCCATTTCACAGCCAGAATAATCAGAATGCGTCTGAAATATACGTTAACGTATCATCAGGAACGTTCTATAGAATAAGTAAACAAAAAGGTTTATTTCAAATGTTCAGAACGAATAAAGAAATAGAACCAAAATCTTGAAATAATCTAATGCCTGCTTTACTATGTGCATCCGGCAACACTGAGACTTTAGTACTCTTTGACGTGTCAATTTTTTACCAAACGAAGGTGCAATATTTTCTTTCCATTTTATTGTTTATTGTAGTATTTTTTAAACAAATCGATTTACTTAACAAAAATTAAATAAAATTAACAATGGTTGATGAATGCACGAAAAAAACACTAAGCAACATTCCATTGTTACAAACACGCGCTGGACCACGCGACAAAGATTTGTGGGTGCAGCGGCTTAAAGAAGAATACCAGGCACTAATCAAATATGTGCAAAACAATAAGGAATCTGGCAGTGACTGGTTTCGTTTGGAATCCAATAAGGAGGGGACACGTTGGTTTGGAAAATGTTGGTACATGCACAACCTGCTCAAATATGAATTTGATGTGGAATTCGATGTAAGCGGATAATAAAGAACTCAAACATATTCTAATGATGTACATACATGTTTATACTATTCCACGTACCGAATTTCCCTTTTCCATAATATTACAGATTCCGATAACTTATCCAACGACGGCGCCGGAAATAGCTTTACCTGAACTAGATGGCAAAACTGCAAAAATGTATCGCGGAGGAAAAATTTGTTTGACGGATCACTTTAAACCTCTGTGGGCGCGTAATGTACCAAAATTTGGCATAGCACATGCAATGGCTTTAGGGGTGAGTTAAAACCCGAATTTGATTGTTCAATTGTATTAGATTTGAATCGCTTTTGTTATCTTAGAACCAATTCGTCTTGTCGTAGAAGCATTGCATAATTTAGTGTTCAAAACTGCTTAATTCATTAATAAACTTTATTTTTTCAGCTTGCACCATGGTTAGCTGTCGAGATACCAGATCTTATAGAAAAGGGCATTATCAGCTACAAGGAAAAATAAGCTTTCCTTCTTCATAGGCAAATCCTTATTTACTTATTTTTTATTCCTAACACGTTTTTGAACAAAAATGGAACAAAAATAGTTAAAAGACAGAAAGTTAAAAAAAAAAAAAATGTTAATGTGCCTGGCAATAACTACAATAAATTTTGGTCTAAAGCTGCATACTGCATCAATATCATTATACATTTACAGTTACAGTTGCAGAAAAAAAGTAAGTTAAGGAATCCCACAGGACTTTTCTAAAGTTGGAGAAAAATATCGTGTATCGAATAAAAAAAGGCGTTAGAGATGTTCCGGCTTAATTTAGGCTACAGTAGCCCCGAAGACTCTTTAACTTTCAAATCTATCTATGCATATATTTATTTAGCTTATGGATGGCGGCTAATAGCCGAGAGGTAGTCTCAAAGAGAATTTTCATTATCAGAAAACGGCAATGGTGAAGTATTTGATGGTGTAAGAACAACTCGACCCCGACAAAAAAAAAATAATCATATCACAAAGCTCCCAATAAATAGACGATAAATATTCAGTTTGCAAATAAATGAAAGTGGTTTTAATGTATGCTTGAAAGTATGTATGTATGTATTTGGTTTGTATGCAGTTATTTCATTCTGTGCGTTAACTGCACTTTAGTCCATTATAGTTTTTTTTTTCAAATTAATTATTAACTCCAAGTGTTTAATCTAATGTGTTGAGGTTGTGGCTACTATTGTGTGGCAATATGCTGTTACTTAGGCCGTGATGAGCAATGACTACTCTTGAGTATGTACGTACATATATAAGTTTAAGAATTTATAATTTCACGACTTCAATCCATTAAAGTTTATTTTACTTTATTTTTTAAGTAAAACCAAGATATCCCAAAATAAACTATTATTCTTGTTTCGCGACATTAAAATTAAATAACAAAGTCAAGTCAATGGAAAATAGTTATAAATAAAATTAGGAAATTCAAAAACAAACAAAAATTATAAATTTCACATTGTTTCAAATTAATTTTTTCTTGTTCATCAAAGGATCATTAATTACCCTCACCGTTTTTGCGATAAACGAAAAAATATATATAGGAAAAGAAAAAATTAAATAATTTTCAACCATAATAACCGTTGGTTATGAAATTTCGAAATACCGCATTATTTGGCTCGAATTTCGAATTTTGTTCGTTTCACATATTTTTCGAACTTCACACAGTTTTACAAAAAAAAAAACATATATTTCTAGTTATAAAGCAATGGCCAGCGCATTGGACTATGGACGGTCAGATTGCTGGGAAATGGGGGAAAAGAGCATATGGCAACAAGTTTCAAAAAATGTGTTAACCTAATTATTAAGTTCAATGTAAGCAATTGTTAAATTTTACAAAACGAAAAAAACGCACACAAAGTTTAAGCGACATTAAATCAAAAATTACTCAATGAGGGATTCGTGTAAATAGTTGGCGCGCATGGTATAGTAATGCTAGTAAATATCTTCAAAAATATACATAACATAAAGAAAACTATCCCGCATTCGCCAACCATTCATCATCAATCGCTCAACCTTACATTTAGGCCCGCACATACGCTTTACAATAACTTTTCAATTTATATTTCCGTTGTTCTTGTTACTGTTATTAATATTGTTGCGTTTCTGCCAGCTATCCGACCAAATGGAACTGAGCGAACTAAATGGATCGAATGTCTGCATTTCAGCTGGTATAACAGCACCAGCACCAGCATCGTTGGACGAAACATTCAATGATTGCTGCTGCTGCTGCTGCTGTGGCTCTTGTTGTGCGGCTGATTGTGTATTGTTACTCATACCATGAAAGTTGCTCTCCAAGCCGGGAGGTGGACGTATGACTGCTGTGCCAACGCCAGCGCTACCATTGCCACCACCACAGCCAGCACCAGATGTTGATACAGCACCCCCGATTGGCGGCCAAGCAGTTGCTGCGAGTGTACCGCCGCCTGTTACTGGTGTATTCAAACCGCTGACCAATACAGCACCGCCGGTTGGGCTATCATGTTGTCCCAAATACGTTGTCATCGGCGACCAAGTCCGCGAGTTTAGGTGTGCCCAATCGACACCTTGTAGCAGCTGCTGCTGTTGTTGTTGCTGCTGCGCTTGCACATGTGCCTGTGCATGAGCCTGCACCTGGGCTTGCAATTGCTGCTGGCGCAGGCTGTACATATATTCGAAGTACTCGTCTTGTGCCTTTTTTATCTCAAAGAGATCGGCGTCGAGGCCTAAAATCAGTCAGTATGCATTTCGGAAATGTAATATTTATTTAAAGTGGCTTACCTCTCAGTGGCCGATTGCCATCGTACTCGTATGTGGTCAAAAGATTAGAGAAGAAGCTGCAATTGCCTGTTGACACCACCGGCTTTGGAATTTGTAGACCATTGCCGCTATTATTGCTGCTACCGCTGCTGCTACTGTTGCTATTAACTGGCTCCCAGACGGGTGTAGACGATGGCGACTTTTTAGAGCCGATAGGACCCAACTCACCAGAATTTGAGCTGGCCAACTTTTCCGAGGGCGTGTCAGATGAGTTTTGTCCGAAAAGCTGCGCTTGTTGATGCGGCTGCTGTTTTTGTTGCCCTTGCTGAAACAGATCTTGCTGTTTTCTTCCAAACTCCGATTCATTCTCTTTACCGCCGAAAAAGTAACACGATCCAGCATCGCTGACACCAGCATTCGATTTATCATTCGCCTTTGGCATAGTTTTTCCCTGCCCACTTAGAGGCTGTGCCTGCAAAACATCACTAAACGTCGCCTGGTTGACAGTGTCCCAAGGCGCGCTTAAGCAGCCCAAAGTAGCGCCGCCGTTGCTGTCATTTCCGTTTGAAAGCATTGTGCGTGTTGCCGCAGCATTCGAAGAAGCACCTGAATCGGTAAAATTTAACGCACGCAGTGCGGCCGCTGCGCGTTGGCGACTTCTACGTTCAGCGCGGCGCGATGCACTTGAAGAACCACAAGAGTTTGCGGACGATGAAGAACAGTTCGAGGGAGTTGCGGTGTCGTTCCCATTGTTGCCAGTGTTGACGTTGCGCGCGTCTTTGCGACGCTCTCGTCCTGGTGTTTTGCCATATTTTGAACCGGTTGCGCCACTCTGTACGCCTACTTCCTTTACTGGCGGCGAAGGTGTCGATGTCGGAACGGCGCTAGTGCCACGCGAATCCAGCACATTGCATCCAAGGTTAGCGACATGGTTTAGCGATTCAGCAACGGTCGTCTTATTTCCATTTCCACGCGTATTTTTTCCTCCATTCATCTGGGACTTCTGATTGCCGGCGCCACCGCTTACGGTCTCTCTTTCATTTTTCTCGGTAGTCTGCAATGGGGCAGCAGCGGCATTTTTCGCCTTGCGCGCACTACGCGGCTGTTGTATTGAAGCCATGCTCTGCAACGGTGAGGCT